ACTCTCTATTTAGTATTTACTAGAGAGAGAGAGCGAGAGTCGAGGCAGAGTGACTCGCGTCTTACCGCTCTTCCGCTCTTGCACAGCAGCAGACAGCTGCAGACTCTTCTTTTGTGCAGACTGCAGAGTTGTCGTGTTGCACTTCCTTGCAGCCTTCAAATTCAATTCTCAGCTCGATTTTTGCATAGCCTATTTTTTTTTCTCAATAGGACAACAATGGAGTCATTGGCCGCCGAGAACTTTTACGAGATTTTGAACCGAGGTAAATTTGTACTTTGCAGAATATTAACTTATTTAGTAACCTCAACCGTTTACCGATAAAACGTTTATTAATCGCATAAAGATGCGTTTTCATTCAACTTTATGGTCCTCTATATAATCAGGTGCACCTTGGAGGTCAAGAATTTGACGTTTGTACTGTTTTTAATAAACGATTTTGTTCTATAATAGATTTTATGTAGACCCCTGTTGATCACATATATGATATAACCCATATAACGATATTAAAAAATGAATATACAGGTGTTTTTGTTCAACTACCGTGCCGTACCCCCAATCCCCCTAACGTAATGAGCTATGGTTATTAAAAATAAAATTAAAAAAAAGAAGATAAATATGTTAGTTGCTGCAGTGCTCTGGACTGATAGCGTTGCCATTACGAACATATTCAAAACTCTGATACTTTTTGATCTTTAGGTTTTCATACTCTCAGAGTATTTTTTAATCTCGCCGTGCTTCTAAAAGTGCTATTCTCGTTTTTCTAAAACAGAAGAAACAATAAAGAAATATAGAATAATATAAAAAAAGCCTCAAGTTTAAAAACCCACAGCTCTTGAAAGAGTATTTACATAAGAGCATAACTCACTTGGCCAGATAAAACAACACATTCGTTTTTTGCTCTGTTATTGATTAAAAAAAACCCCCCTTTTTGGACAATATTCGTATAAAAAGCATACAGTCGTTTTCTGTTTTAAAAAATATGGTATTTCGAAGGACACCAAATCTGCCCTTAATATAACCCAATAAAATCTCTAAATGCATGGTAACGGGCTAACGGCTGTATCCACCGATTTCAACCCATCATCATTATGAAGAAGGGATAAAACGGAAACCTGGATCTATGATAGTGGCCAGTCTAAATATAGTATTCGCTTGTTGAGTATGCACTTGTGGTTGTGAGTACAGTATTAGTTAGCTCTAGTAGCAGAGGACAATGGAGTTAGGGTATTTTCTTCACACGACAGACGACACACGTCCGACTTCGTTTTTTAAAATATTATACACTGCGTACTTTTAGTCCTGTATGCTCATACGAATAGACGACTGGTCGTTGATTACGTTTTTTAAAAAGAAATATATATATGGTAATACATCGGCACAGCACCTTATATTAACATAACTATACTTAAATAAATTAAAAAAACATTTTATCTGCTCAGAAATTTATGTTTCATATTTATTTTCTAAAAATTACCAATACGTACACTACTATGTTTTTTTAAACAAAACACATACAAAAATGAAAATATTTATACACTTTTTTTAATATGCAGAGGGTCGGTCTGTCTCTGACCACTAACCAGTCACAGGGAAAAAATGAGACATTTAGCGAGTGAATACTCGTAGTGGCCATTTGATTAGCTGAACGGTTTCTGGAAGGTCCGACCGTATGTTAGGCACCTTTTTCGTTAATAATTTCAACACAATATTTTGTACACATCATAGTGAGGTTTCGTGCAGTCTTACCGACGTTCTAACACTACACTTGCGTTCAGTTGCGTTATAGCTTTGTGAATATTGAGTGCATTTGGGGTAAAGAATCAACCAAACGTCTGTCTTGCTATGACTGCGTTTGCCTATGAAGTGTATGATAGAAACGAGTGTTTGATTGATATTGAGCATATAATATTGTTTCCAGACCAATTGAAAAGATCTTTTGTAGAGAACACTGTTAGCAGTAGCAAACCAGTATTTTCCCAATATGTATTTCGGAACAATGAACTCACAAGGGGTCAATAAAAACACATATTAGAAATAAACAGTGATCTCGCCATAAATATGTAAGGCGGTAGAACATAAATACACCTTTAGGAGAGGGATAAGTAAACTCACTTACTTCTTAATACTAAATATATAACAGAGTATGAGCATATAGACTAACTATATTTAGTAAGTGCTACACCACACACGACAACATACACACCATGCTGTTCCTCACACTCATATTACAGCACTACACACGCTTACAACACTATATACACTTCTTCACATCTCCCCGTTTCAAATACTAGCAAAAAAATACAAGCCTCTTAAGTCTCGTTCGTGAAAAAAAGGAGCATCTATCGAAGTGGACAACTAAAACGTGGACAGGTTGCGAGGACCCACTATTGAAATAAAAACTGGATTGTTGTTTTTGTAATATATAATTAAAAATAAATTGTAATGAAGGCGACCAGGAGTCGAGGACTTCATTTTGAATGGTTTTGTAATCTCTTTTGTTTTAAAAAAAAGTGTCACCAGTTCCAGTCTCCACTCACCACACGCACTCATCGAGTCACGACTCTCAATTTTTTCAAAGTCTCAGGATCTCAACTACGTTAGGCTAGCCTCATATGAGTCATATCGTTATAGCCATAGGTTGCAACTTGCAAGTTGCAACGCAAAAAAATAATCTGTTAAATGTTGAAAATCAACGTATACGTCCATTTCAGACTTTCAGTTCGTGGAGTAACTGAAAACAAAATCTGTTTTAGTGGAGCTATTTAAAAAAATCTTCACTGACAACACATTCTGATATCTAATATCGCGACCAAAATTTATAGAATAGGTGCACTATTCAGGTCAAGATATAACGAAATACGTTGCAACGCTATAAAAAAATCTGTTAAACATCTTTCATTAGTGGAGCTAGATTACAGATTTTGTCTACAATATCAAATATCGAGACCAAAATTTATAGAATAGGTGCACTATTCAGGTTAAGATATAACGAAATACGTAGCAAGTTTAGAAAATAATCCGATAGACGTTGAAAAGTCAACTTTTATATCCATCACGCCCTTTAGAATAGGTCACTAGTGGTCCGTCCAGTGCAGTCCACAAACTCATTACTCGCCACCCTATGTAAATACTGCCCATCGCACTGCCCACGTCTCCGAGCCAGAGGGCTGTGAGGCTCTCGAGTCTCCGAGAGACTAGCGAGTCTGACACACCATTTGATTTCAATTTTCATAGAGCCTACTTTTCAGAAAATGCCTATTTATACTCTAGATAAATAGAGTATAGAGTATACACTATAGAGTACAGAGGACTATGCACTTTTTGCTTAAGAGTTTTTTTTTATATAATGATCATTCTTCTAATTGGGTTTTAAATAAAGTATTGATTCTGTATTTTAAGAGCAAATATATAAATTGAAACACTCTGCGGAGTCTGCATTCTGCAACTCTGCACGGTCTGCGGCAGTAAGCTCCGCGCCTCTGTGGAATTCACGTCTGGGTATTACTCTGAGACTCGCTCTCTGATGGAGTGATGGACCACTGGAGTTACTATTCTGAAGTATTTAAAAAAAAAGGTATATATTTACCGTTTTTACTTTTGAGGGTTGACTGCTGCAGTCTGCAGTCTGCAGTTCTGCACTACTCTAAAGACTCTGCACGGGCACCTAAATAGTAAATACACCACTGTCCCACTCCTACACTACTACTAGAGTAGTACATAGTAGTAGCGAGCCTGGAGTCACTTCTCACTCTAATCACAAACCCTCTTGTGTCATTTTGCGCCTAATCTCAATCTCGCGTGTGCGACTTCTCTCTCTTGCGGGTGATGCCTGCCTCTCTCTCGTTTTAACTCTCTTCTATCTCTTCTTTCTCTTCTCTAACCTCTCTCTAATACTATTTATTAGAGTCTTCTCTTGTTATGTGTGAATGTATGTGCTTGCCTGCATGGCAGCCCTGCTGGGTAGTGCTGGGCTGGCGGGCTGCGGTATGACGCATGTGGTAAATTTTACTATTTTGAGTTTTCGAATTTTGACTGCTTTTTACGATAGATAAATGTTAAAAGGTTTCTATTTGATTATATATTTAAAATAAATATATTGTTTTTGTTGTTTTTTTAACAATAAAGCAAACGAGTTTTCATTTTACGCATCCGGCGTAAAACACAGCTCGTGTGTATTTAAATATTTTGATCTTTCGGCTAATTAAGCCTTTCGGGGGACGGGGGGTTTTACACTTTTTAAAATGGTTTTCAGAAAAAACAAATCAATGGACTTCTTTGTTTTTTATATATTTAATACAAAAATGTCTAATGTGAGATACATTATTATATTTGTCCTATTTTCAAAATCACTATGCTCTACTACTCTCTCCCAGAGATATGGAGAGTATTGAGAGTATAGATAAAAAGAGTACCGACAAAACCGATAGAATATAGGTTTTTCTCTGGTCATGTAAATATTGTACATATTTATTTAGTGAGTAGGGCAGGCAAACATATTTTGATTTCCCTTTTTGTTTTTGTAAAACAATTAGTGTTCTGGCTCTTGATTGGGGTATTTGTTGTTTCTTTTGTGGAAAAAAGAACAAATATTTTTACAAAACAGAATCGACATTCGACAATGAACCACTCGATTCTATCGATTGGATGATGCCCCCGTCTGATCCCCGACCCCCGCTGGCTCCCGTGTGGCCCCGTGTCGATAAGAATCGTGATGTCACGGGAAAATCTGTTATTTTCTCGCTATTTTTTTATCTCTCCTATACTACTACTAGTCCAGAGCGAGAGTCATTTTTTTTAGAGGAAGTGAGAGCGTCTAAATGCTCACTTGTGCAGTTGTGCTATTTTACAATTTAAAAATTACACAAGTGTCTTTCTATTTTTTAATAATGAGTGATCAGGTGGTGGTTTCAAAAGACGTGAATTGTGTTGCTGCGAATGTGACCTTTCGGCTTTCGCATACATATTGCATAAATATGTAACCGGGATATACTATTCTATTTACAACTATTCATTCAAGCCCTGTTCATATAGCAATACAAAGTGTTTTGTTTGTTGAGGTATTAATTTACCTATTGTAACTGCAAAACCAAAAGCTGAAGAGCCAACTTATGATGAACATGGAGTGTTACACACCAAGTAATTTGATCGGATTACACGTAGAATCGTACCAGCTGTCTCGGTTTTTATTGCAGTGTAATGATGCGAGTGTCAACTGTATGTACCACTCGGTCAATATGTCATCCTCGACTTTCTTAATCTTCTGCGAACAACTCGCACATCCTCGTATTAGGGGGATTGGGCCTCTCGAAAGGGCAACAATAATACACAGTCTTCACTACCTGTTGAAGTTGAATGAAATGAGACGAGGGTTTTCGGGACATACTGCATGTGCGAGCTGTCTTATGGTAGGCTGCCTCGTTATTGCCACGAAATATGTTCAGGAAGTCGGCGGAAGAAAGAATTCAGAGTGGGCACAATTGGCAGGACTGGACCTTGCTTATCTAAATCAACTGGAGAAGGGCATTTTGACATCTCTACGCTTCGATCTAAGTTTACCACTAGCCCGGTACAATGATATAGTGGATGTCTTAAATTTAGATCCCATAGTATCAAATTGGAGCGACGGCGAACACAGGAAATGTGACGGCAGCCGATTTTGCTGTGGCGTGAATGGTGTTTCTCGGCCCGGTACAATATATCAGGCACCCTTTTATGATTCGGCATTCGCACTCGGTACAGTAGGCATGCCGCAGTTGACGAGGAAAATTTCAACACTGTATGACTACAACCAAATTTTACAACACTTGCGATCTTGTTAATAAGATCTATAAAGTTATCGGCAGAACTCCCCGCCGCAATTAAATTTAGTTAAGTAGGGCTGTCTTTGTAAGAAGCCTACTTCCAGTTACACGCACTCGCCGTCTACACGGCCTTGCGACACAGAAAACCGATGTGGGAGGATGCTATTTGAGACAGCCACCAATGAGACTCCTGCTCCTGACATTAGAATAAAGACCAACATAATGAGTACACTAAAATATTATGCATCTTTTTCAAGCTTTTTGCCAGTACTATTTTCTAATAGTTATACATTTTATTGTTGAATCAAAGGAGCTCGATCCAGTGATAACTATGAAATAACATTTGTGGTATTTGAACCACAGCCCACATATCATGTTATAGAAATTACTAACACATATTTCAGTTTGAATATGGCACTCAAAATTATCCCTGCAGACCATCATTTCTTCAGACGCGCGATTTGTCAAAAACTTTCTAAACGTAAGGTGACCAGGAATACTCAAATTTGAACTCGTATTTGCAGATTATTTTAAGTGCTTGGATTTCGTATTGTAGCAGATATCCATACACACCTACTTTGCATGTCTACTAGTATGCATATACCGCGTAGTTTTAATTACTGAAAGTTTAGCTGTAGAGTCTCTAGTACTTTTATTGAAGACTTGGAATGTCTGACCTATTTTTAATTCAAAAAAACAACAACAACAACAACCTCCCCCTTTGTGTGGGGGAGAGAGTGAGTGGGGGAGAACTGGTGTGTGTCGGCTCGGTTTTAATGAGCGCGTGTGAGTGAGTGTTGTGAGCGAGCGTGTGTGCTAAGGTGTGTTTGAATGCGAGTGTCTGTATGAGTGTATGCGAGTGTATGTATGAGTGTATGCGAGTGTATGTATGAGTGTATGCGAGTGAGTGAGTGTGAGTGTGGTGTGAGTCAGAGTGCATGTGTGATTGTGTGCGTATGTAAGTGTGTGTATGAGTATGACTATGAGTATGTGAGTGAGCGAGAGTGAGAGTGAGAGTGAGATTGAGAGTGTACGCACACGCTGGTGTTAGTGCGTACACGCTGGTGGTATGGCGTATTCCGTCTGTACTGGAGAGTGTGTGGGGAGCTGCGAGAGAAATTTTTAGCCTGAACACGAACAAATAAATTACGCCTATGATTTAACGCGTTCAATCCCCGCGGCGTCACAGCCGTGATTTATACAATCGGTTACAAAAGGAAACTAAACCTTCAAGTACGCAAAAAGGAATAAAATGGTATCAAGAGCGGAGTCTATACCGAAATGTACAATAATGCATTCAACAATAAAACGATATCAAATACAGAGACTGAGACAAGAGTACAAGGCTATTATTTTGATAGGTACACAAATGTATATATAATCGAATTTGTGGATACACATTTTGTAATATATATAAATATATAAATACACGCGCACACAAACGTATATATATATATATATATACAAATAAAAATATATGCATCTATATCTATATCTATATCCATATCTACACACACACATTATATATGTATAAATGTACACACAAACACACACATAAATATATATATATTCTATATATATATATAAATATATATGATATATACACACATAC